ATTGGATAGTAGGAAATATTCACTGAAAAGCTTGTCAGACACTACAACAGGATGGCCAGGGAAGTGGTGGAATTGCCGTCTCTGGAAGTGTTCAAAAGGTGTGTGGATGTGATTTAGGGATGGGCTTGTTATTGCTAGATTAAGGATTGGACTCAGTCTTAAAGGTATTGCTTCAGCCTAAGCAGTTCCATTCTTCAATTATATGATCCTGTCTCTTAAATTTCTGGTATTATTTAGGTCTAAGACTTTCCAGTTAGTGGGTTACACAGCCTGATGCAAAAAGGTGGAGTTTACATCTCCCTGCTCTTCCACTGAGCACCAAATGATTATCCATTTCAACAGAGGGGTGCAAATCTTCAATCTCTGCTGTTCCTTGCACAACTATCAGCCTTGGAAGCAAGGAAGCACCTCATTCCTTACATTTAAAATTAAGAAGTTGAAACAAAGCTAAGCTTGATTTTCTCGTCTTTTTTTATCCTCCCTTTCCTGCACAGAGCAGGGACAGAGACCCTTAGCAGGTACTGATGGGACGAAACCTCAATCCTGGAAACCTCAAAAAAATCTTTCCCCCACCCTGTCCTCCTTTGTTACACAGATGTGACAAGGAAGTCCCTGCCCTCATGAATTTCAAATTTGAATAGAAGAAGCAAAGGTTATAAGAGGAAAGAAAACTAATAGGGCCAGCTGACTGAACTGGAGTCCCCCACAGCCCATCAGGAGTAAATGCAGGAATAGAAACACATCAGTGAAATCCCAAGGAGGCTAAGGTCCATACTGCCATTCACACAGGAGGATATCCTCAGGCTATCCTGTATCTTCCTGTCCTCAGGAAATAATTCAGACAGGATGAGCCCTCAAAACAGCTTCATGGACATGTGGGGAGTAAAGCATGACTTAAATCCCCTGGCTTCTCACCAGTAAAACAACTGGCTTGATTTCACATGGAATATCCAATTTGGGAAAATAAAGCTATTGCACAGAGGATTGAAATTTAAGGCATCAGTGAAAGGCTTTCAGACGCTCACAATCTTGCCAGAAACCCAAAAGCATAAAGCTATCAGGTGCTGATTTACCACCTCAAATGATATCAGATGCTTTTGGTTAAAACTGCCCTGTGAATTATAGTCTTTTTGGTAAAGGCTTGGCTTTGCTGCCCTGTCTCTGTAGTCACTGATGACCTTAAAGTCCTGCTGCGAAGGAAGTGGGTTTTAGCCCACATGTCCTGTTTTGTCTTTGTACTCTACTCATTGCCCGATTTCCTGGATACTTCCAGAAGTACGTTAAGCAGACTAACATCTGTACAATAACTAACATCTATTGTGCCTTTTTATTTTTTTGTCCCCAGGGCATGTGTGTGGCAGAGTACCTTGTTTTATTTTAAATGGACTTTAAAAATAGCAAAAAAGCACATTACCAAAAAACCACCTTGAGATAAATAGTCTTTGAGAGCTCAACAAAAGCATATGGTACATGTGCACATATAAGGTAAAGATAAAGGTGCTGTATAGTTCACACCCCAAGGTGGGGTTTCGCTATTCCTCCCAGTGTGAGTTTGTTCAGTAAACCAGTCTGGGGAAGGTGCCTCATCCTGAGCTGATGAGCTGCTCTTCTCTGTAGAAAGTTTTCTGAGCTGAAGGATCAAAGCTGCTGACTTGAGCCTTCAGTCTGGTGCTCTCAGCCTTGTGGGCTCAGTGTCGTGTGCTGCCCACTGACATTTGTCATCCAGCTCAGGGAGTGCAGTTCCCAGCAGTCCTTCCTTGGGTAGTGCCTACAGTCTTCCATCAGAGCTGCCTGCCTCACAAGCCTTCTGCTGTATGTTTGTTTTTATTTTCCCCAAATGCTTTGTGAGTCTTTGGGCTCAAAAGTGTGCAAGAAAGTACAAGGCTTTCTTAATCAAGCAGTGTTCACAAAGGTTTTTGTATGTGGAACTGAAATTTAGGTGCTCACTTTGCCATCCTGCCTGCCTCAGCTGACAAGATTTTCTTTTAAAAACTTCCTCATAACTTATGAGTTTCAGTGCTGCTTTTTCTAATTTTATCCTTCCTCTTATTAGTATCAGAATGACTGTTCTTTTGTCAGTAGATCATACTTTCATCTGTAAAACATTTCTGTTGCATCATTGATGATGACTGTGTTTTATTTTTTTACCAAACCTGCCAGATAGTCCTGTTTACAGAAGCACAGAACTTTGGGCTGAGTAACTGGTTTACATTAATTCTAGAATAGTTTTGTTTTAGAAGAGAACCTTGCCATCATCTCTTCACACCTCCCACACAAAGCAGGGCCAGTTTCAGAATAGTTTAGGATTGCTCAGGAGGACCTTGTACTTACTGCTGACATTCTGGACACAGTTGTAATATGAAAATTTTAACTGGAAAAAACACATATCTGCTAGTATACCATTACCATTGTTTTAACCAGCAGTTAAGGTATTTTAAATGTGTACTAAATGGATTTTTTTTCTTTTTGCTGTTGTGGTCTGGTTGTAAAAGTCATTGTTTTTATCTTACTCTTTTTGTGTAGGAGTGGGGAAAAAACCCTTTCTGATTCAACTTTCTAATGACGTCTGGCTTAATGAAAAAAAAGCTATAAAAATTTCTGGTTGATTTGAGTACTACAGTAGGCTTCACGCAGTTGCTGGGGTTTGTTACCTGTTCACATGCCTGTTCTATCAAGAATGGTGAAATAAAGCAATTGTTTGAATGAGACCCAGCAACTCCTGTGCACAGCCCTGCACATTCCTGCTGCACACTTTGGCTGCACAACAGCTCCATCTGTCGTTCCTGAACTGCAGCTTTCCCTGTGTGTACAAACCTTTCACCGCACAATTTTGTATTGATTCTTGGGCTTCCCTCTGGCTTGAGAAATTTTAACATAGTCTTTACTCTTGTGGTAAGATACTCTTTGGGGTACCTCCAGACAAATGTTGAATACTTTTTGGGGTGTAGTCCTCTAGCTGGCACTCTGGCTTCAGGCAGGAAGGATGCAGAATCGAGTTCTAAATCTACATACCTAGTTTTAGATGATTCCATAAAAGGCAAGCAGGACACATGGGCTTGTTTTTCCTATCTCTGGCAAGCAGTTTAATAAGAAATTTGAAATGGAAAAAGAATTTCTCCTGTTTACAAACAGACATGGAAGAAAAGATGTGTTAGTTGTACTTTCTAAAAGTGTTGGAGTTTATCAAACTATACGGTGACTTTTTAGATGTGCTTTAACTGATTGTTCTCTTTAATTGTCCCAAGGTCTCATGACCAGAGGCTTTTTCAGTTGCTCACCTTGTTCTGCCTTTCTACATTTAATCACTCTAAATTTAACTAAACTAAACTAAAATTAAACTAAAATTAATAACTGTGCAGGTGAGTTGTCAGTGTGAAGCAAGCCAGCATGTGTTGTCAGTACTAAAGTTCATCAAAAGAGCCCTTAAATACACACAATAGCATCTCCATGTACTTATGAGTAAGGAGGAAATGGCCTCCCTGAGGAAAACTGTGAAAGTACATAAAACAGTTTTATTTGGGTCTGGAAGCAGTCACTGAAGTTACTTATTGAAGGCAAAGACTTTGTCTCTCATGTCTGTCCACACCATGCACAGACCTTCATCTGCTCCTGCTGTTGTAGCAGTGAGCTGCAGCACACATGTCCTCCCACTTGAGTCCAAGAGAGATTAACCTCTGAGGGAGTTCAGAAATGACATTTTGCAGCAGGCTGTACATCTGAAATAAGTTCCTGTGCTCTCTTTGGCACAAAGCAAATATAAGTACCTGGTGTGAAGTAGCCAGATCCTGCAGGTCAAGCGTTAGGCTTTTCTGAGCTGCCTAAAGGAATCCACCTAGCAGATATATTACTGTGATAACAGCAAATGCTTGGATTTGGGTGTGATCTGCTGCTTTTCAACTCTCACTTACAGACTTTCATAAAATAGGGAATGTGAAAGTTTGTTTCCTGTAGAATCTGAGAGGTGTGGCAGAGTTTGGGTGTGAAGGCAGATGGATGAGCGAGCAGAGATCCTCAAGCCAGCAGATGTCAGGCTGTTACCACCAGCAGGAACTATGACAGGAAAAGGTGGATCGATGCACTGATGAAAGTCAAAGTTGGGAAGCTACAGGTCATCTTCAGCTGATAAATCAAAGCAGTGAAGAACTGTGAATATGTGGTAATTAAGTAGGATAGGTCTTCTGGAGTAATTCTGTGGTTTGGTTTTATTTTTTTTTATATTTCATAGTAAAAGCCTGTATGGGTATTCCAGAATAAGATTGTTTGTGCAGGGAGTTACCTGTTAAACTCCCCAGTGTGGATGAATTCTAGGGGAAGGGTCGAGATGGATGGTGAATACAAAGCAGTATGAGTAAAAGCTGGAAAAAAATGACCTTAGGAATTGAATTTCTAATGAGTGAATAAATCTAACACTATGGGGTTTGGGTTAAGGGGTATGATGTATATAAGCTGGCAATATTTGTAGAACAGTGGTAGGCAATAAACACCCACTTTCTAACAAGAATGTTTAAATTTAATTCTTATGCCAGAAGAAGAGAAAGAAGAGGTGGCTTTTTTATTGATTTCGTTTTGGAGTTCTTATTCGTTTAATTTGCTGGAGTTTTTTTCAGTGTTTTTTAATAACTAGGCTAGTAAAGTATTCTTGAGACTCAAAACATCCTGTGATGACTCTTTATTTGTTGATAGTTTTGTTGCATGAAGTACTTTGTGACCTCTCAGCAGGTTTGTCTGACTTCCTAAATGTGATTAGAATATCTGGTGTTAAGTAGGGTGCTATAAAAGGGGCATGGATTTTTATTCTTAATGGCTGAAAATAGCATTTCTCCTTCAGTATACACACCTGTATTTTAGACTTTTTTTTTACAAAGCAGAAATAATTTGATGAATTAGGAATATAAATTAATGACTTTTTTTTTTTATCTGTAAGTAACTGTCAGTACTCCCAGTGGGCTCCAGGATCAGTTACAGCTTTCTGAACATGCTGCTGATGTTTGTTCTTACAGATTGATCACTTTGGATTTGATGAAAATCGTACGTTCCAGCAGCGGTACCTGGTAGCAGATCAGTACTGGAAGAAGGGCAATGGACCAATACTGTTTTATACAGGCAATGAAGGAGACATCGAGTGGTTCTGCAACAACACGGTACGTGTGAAATACTGGGGTTACAGTCCTACCTGCCAGTGCTGGCATACCGAAAAAGTGAGGAGGTACGAGATGGCAGTCATAGAAGGTCGTTGAAAGATAGGTTTGTAATGATTGCTGTGATTGTTATAGGAGGAAGAGGAAGCTGAACAAAAGCACATAAAAAGCTTAGGGGGGGGTTTCAGGGTCCTATTTGAAGCCCAAACAAACCAAAGGGATACACTTGTATTAAATTCCTGGAGCAGTGAAGAAAAGTTTTAGAGGAAGCACCGTAGCTGCCCTGAGCTAACAGTTCAGAATTTTGGACCAAATTAAACTTATCCTAGTACTTTAGATTCCCCAAGTAAAATGGAAGGTTTTCATGTTTGGAATTCTGTTTCTCTATTAAGAAAAATATGAAGGGAGCTGGAAATCAAATTGTTCTCTGCAGTACCTGTGAAAATTTTTACTTCCTTGACTGGTACAAATGCAGAATGGAGTGTGTGGGTATTTTTCAGCCATTTCAATACGAAGTCCAGTAACATGACAGGAGGTGGCATGTGCTGAGCTCAAAGCCACCAGGGACTGCTTGCATGCTTTGTGCTGCCAGCAGATGATCTCTGTCTGCTTCTGCTCATAGCTGCTGGTAACAAACTGTTATCAACAAGTAATAATAAGTTGTACTTATTTATGAATTGAAAATAACTGTATTGCAATGCTCTAGATTAATGCTTATTGACACACAAGTTTTGTATTTTCTGTAATGTGGTCCTAAGTCACATGCATGCTTTTCTCCAGTAGCCTTTTTTATTTCCTGTGGATTAAGCTCGTGCCATAGGAGTTCTGTTAGAATTGCCTGTGTATAGTCACAAGACAAGGATACTTAATATTTCTCAGCATTGAAATACAAATACTCTCTTTGTATATATCGATTTCTCTGGCTTGGTATCTGTTTTCTGACTTAAGTGATTCTTAAAAACCAAATTGAATTCTGTCTTTCTAGTGGCATTTTGATAGTGATATCTTTCTAATCAAAGAACTGGAATACACTAGAAAAAATATAAGCTATATGAATGAAACCAGAGACTTTTAAACAAGTTGAATCAATTATTTTCTGTGTCATTTTCCTCCAACCAGGGTTTTATGTGGGATGTGGCTGAAGAACTTAATGCCATGTTGGTATTTGCTGAACATAGATACTATGGAGAATCTTTGCCCTTTGGGAATGAGTCTTTCAGCGTAAGTGTCATCTTTTGTCTTCCTAATAAATGTATTCCATAGAAAAATAATTCTGTGTATTTTAATTCTTGCCAGGGCAATGAGTGTTAACTTGAGTAAGATGTAACTTTTTTGTAACTATCAATTCTAGGAAAAAAAAAAAAAACCAAACAACTAGAGGTTTTGTTTTCTGGGTTTTTTTTTAGTACTTCAAGGGACACCTGCGAAGAATATTTCATTTGTTCTCAGGCACAAATTGATTTTAGCTGTAGACCTGATTTTAGCTGTAGCTGCTGTGCGGAATAGAAAACCTGCTGCTGGAAATCACTCATGCTGTCCATAACCTGCCTTCTTTCTCTCAGGATTCCAAGCATCTCAATTACCTGACCTCAGAACAAGCTCTGGCAGACTTTGCAGTACTTGTTGAGTACTTAAAGACAACCATTGCAGGAGCCCAGCACAGTCCAGTCATAGCTATTGGAGGGTCTTATGGAGGAATGCTTGCAGCCTGGTTTAGGATGAAGTATCCCCATGTGGTGGTTGGGTGAGTGTGCTCCTCCTGCTTAAACAGAGCAGGCATATGTTACTTCTGTGCTATAAATGTTTCTGCTCTGGCAGAAGTACCATAATTCAAGCTGACTTGAATTTTTCAGTAATGGGAAAAGGAATCAAGTTACTTTGAACTTGGGAAGAGGCACTGTTTGCCTAAAAAAGGCAGCTGTAGGTCAGCAGGTATATTTTGTCAGAGTTATCTGTTAGATTTGTGAAAATGACATGTGAAAACTGACTTGGCACCTGATTTTTTTTTTAGGGTCTCCAGACTTCCTTATGACTTTAGGCAGGTCTTTAATATCTTTGATAACCTAGTTACCCTCTTGCAAACAAGCTAGAGAGCTTATTTTCACTGACCATGCCTCTCTTCATTTGGGTTCACACAATGCCTGGTGAGAAAGACCTAACTGATAGATAAGAATGAAAAACAATAAAGTAATCAAGTCTGAATTTCTACCTCTACTATTTGCTGCTATAGTTGTACTATTGTCCAAGACTTATATCCTCCAGCCGCCTTTTGTATACAGACCTGTGGAACAATTTTGCAGCATTATGGTTAGCTCACCTAGAGCACAGTGTCCAAGCTAAATTATAAATGCTGCTTAGATAGTGGCTGTGGGGAGGGTATGGAAGTCCATTTTGCAGGGGTTCAGGATCTTTTTATGTCCCTTTGCAGAGCTCTGGCAGCCTCTGCCCCAATCTGGCAGTTTGGTGATCTGGTTCCATGTGGCACATTTTTCAGCATAGTGACCAATGATTTCAAAAAGAGTGGTATGGGCTGCTCAGAGAGCATCCGGAATTCCTGGAATGCTATTAACCACCTTTCCTCAACAGGTAAGACCTCACCAGTGCTTTTTCAAAGAACAGTAACAATCAGGAGAGTGTTATGACTTTCACCTGTGTATGTCTTGGGTTTTTTGAAACTCTGCTCCAGTAATGAAAATTGCTTAGTGAACCTAGTACTGCTTTTAAATGCCTGTTTTGTTGTATCACAAATTTCTTTCAGGCCTGGTGGGATGCAGAATCCAGGTCCAAATGTTCCTAAGGTCAGATAAGAACAGACTTACGATCAGAACCTCAAGGCTTATATTCCTTCTGACAAAATAGGCCAGATAGTCATTACTATAAAAAAAAAATACTTTGCCAGCTGAGGCATTCAGGAAGAGAAAATACTGTAGTCATTATGAACTCAGTGATAGGGACTTAGTTGGACTTGAGGATCTTTTTCAACCTAAGTGATTCTGTGATTATACAACTACCTGAAAAGAAGTTGTAGTGAGAATGCTGACTAAAAATTGATGTGCTGTGCTTATATATGTGTGGAATAGTTTCACTAAATTAGTTAGGCTGAGCAAAAATAGTTTTTAGTAGCAGCAAAACTGATGTATATGTTAATGGTACAATTCACTAAATACTATTCTATCAATTTATTTTTATTAAAGATGCAGGTTTGCAGTGGCTTTCCAACGCATTTCATTTGTGCAGCCCCTTAAAAACTCTTCAGGATGCTGCTGTATTGAAAAATTGGCTGAGTGAAACATGGGTAAACTTGGCTATGGTGAATTATCCCTATAAAGCTGACTTCTTACAGCCTCTGCCAGCTTGGCCTATACAGGTAATTTAGAACCAGTATCTTGTAGAACTGACTATTTGATTTAATTAATTCTCTCCTCCTCTCCTAGCTTGCACCATTTCCTTTGTATTCTTGGCTCTGTAGAAGCAGTGTGCTGAGAAAAGACAACCAAGATAATAACTTGTGCATGAGCTGGTTTGTTGCCTAACTGCCACTTGTAGGTCTAATAGGTTATACCAACAGGCCAGGAGAAAAAGTGCCAGGGATGACTGAGAAACCTTAGCTGTCCTGCAGAGCTGTTCTTACACAGCAAAAATACTGCACAAAAAGCACATGAATTTCTGATGTGAGATTTAGCTGACAGAGCTTGCAACTGAAAAAATTTTGAGTCTGTGTCCTTTTGGATGTGGGAAAACTAGTGAGAGAGAAAATGTGGGTCACCACAAACATTCCTTGCTGGGTCCCTTTTCAAAGCAGAACTTCTTTTTACACTTTCAAGCCTTCATTTGTGCAGTTCTGTTTATCTACAGTGCCTTCTCCAAGATTTCTATATCCTTGGAGTGTTCTTATTCTTTCAAGACTCTGGCTGAATATCCCTGCAGGACTTTGGGTTACTGTGTAAGGCAGGTGAGGCAGGTAAGATACAAGTATTTTAGGCAGTAATTAATTATAAAACAAAATCTTTCCTTTCTATAGAGCTGTATGCTTGAGGAGAGAGGGAAATTCATCTGTCCTATGTGGCTGTCTGCAAAGAGCAGGATAAACACCTTGAAAATAATTTCTGCTTTTTTATCAGTCTGAAAGAACCATGAAACATGCTTACCTCCACCACTGTCCATGTTACCTCTGTTTAGCTGAGGTATAAACCTAGCCCACAAGAGGCCACTACTCATCTGGACAATACTAATGCATGAAATCTGATTTATATAAGCTGTTTAGATACTTTCTTTTCTGAAACAATAGCTCTATTATGACTCTGAGGGCAAGAAAGGTAGGGGGAAGATGTGGACTTGATGATCTTGGAAGTCTTTTCCAACCTTAACGAGCAGCTGGATATATATATATATATATATATATGCATGTTGTTTGCTCTGTTCTCTGTTGTGAGCTACCTGCATCAAACTGCAGGGACTAAACCCCCAGTCTATACCAGGAGTTTCTGTGTTATCTATCTGTATGTGCTGTCTTTAATTACAGAGGTACTAAATACTATTTATTAAATATAATCTATTTTAAAATATGGGAAATGGATTGAAAAATTTGGTGACAAAAACATTACGGTGGCACTGTTGGGTTTTTTAGAAAAAAGTTTTAATCAGGAAATAAAAAGTTTCAGGTTCTTCATAGCAGCACACACTGCACATATGTGATACTGCTTTTTCTGATAATCAGGGTATATCATTTCATAGACAATTTCTGGAAGTGGTCTGACTCTACTTGGAAAATAAATTAATGTTCTACCAGGTGTCATGTATTAATATTTAATTCATATAGATTGAGACTACTTCTCTCTTTGTTGCAGGAAGTCTGCAAGTTCTTGAAGGATCCAAGTCTCTCTGACAAATTATTGCTGCAGAATGTTTTCCAGGCAGTAAATTTATATTACAATTATACAGGAGAAGTCTCATGCTTAGATGTGTCGCAGACTGCAACAAAGAGTCTGGGTGAAATGGGTTGGTACTACCAGGTATGCTCACTAATCTTTATAAATTGCAAGTCAGTTGTGGTTTTTTGATCTAGAGCAGATGAGAATTGTCATTTAGCTGTCAATATATTGTGCCAGATGTATTGATGTAGTGATGACAAACATAGTCACAAACCAATGATTGTAGTGGGAAAGGCAAGGCAGAAAATAGAAGCAGCTTTCTCAGGGGGTTTAGATTGTATCTTCATTATCTAGCCACTTGTTGAGTTTCAGCTGTTCATATAGGCTGGAATGTACAGCAGACAACTGGAAGTTGTGTACGGCAGTCAGTTGTATGAGGTCTAACAAGGCCAAGTGATGGGTCCTGCACTTGGGTCACAACAACCCCATGCAGGGCTAGAGGTTGGGGTCAGAGCTGCTGGAAAGCTGCCTGGTGGAAAAGGACCCAGGGGTGTTGGTCAACAGTGGCTGAACATGAGCCAGCGGAGTGCCCAGGTGGCCAAGAGGGCCAGTGGCACCCTGGCCTGGATCAGCAATGGTGAGGCCAGCAGGAGCAGGGAAGTGATTGTCCCCTGTACTGGGCACTGCTGAGGCCTCACCTCAAATCCTGTGTTCAGTTCTGGGCCCCTCACTGCAAGAAAGACATTGAGGGGCTGGAGCGTGTCCAGAGAAGGGCAACGGAGCTGGGGAAGGAGCACAAGTCTGATGAAGAGTGGCTGAGGGAACTGAGGTGTTTCGCCTGGAGAAAAGGAGGCGGCTGAAGAAAGACCTTAATGCTCTATACAGCTCCCTGAAAGGAGATTGTAGAGAGGTGGGTTTCTGTCTCTTAAGTAACAAGGAATAGAATGAGAAGAAATGGCCTCAAGCTGTACCAAGGGAGATTTAGATTGAATATTAGGAAAAACGTCAAACACTGAAATAGGCTACAGAGAGAAATGGTGTAGTCACCATCCTGGAGTTTTTAAAAAGATACTGTGCACTTAGGTACATGGTTTAGAAGTGGATTTGGCACTTTTTGGTTTATGGTTGAACTCAGTCTTACAAGGTCTTTTCCAACCTGAATGGTTCTGTAGTAGTTAGGCAGTAATTACTGATCAAATGCTGTTTGAACCTTCTTTTCTATGTACTGCAGTAACAGCTATTGGATGTTCCCCATGGCATATATTTTATTGACCTGCTGTTTCTTTCAGGCTTGCACTGAGATGGTGATGCCCTTATGCACAGATGGTGTCCATGACATGTTTGAGCCTCAGAAGTGGGACTTTGATGCACTTTCAGAAGAGTGTTACAGGATGTGGGGAGTGAGGCCTCGCCTCTCTTGGATCCTTTCTATGTATGGAGGAAAAAACATCAGTTCACACAGCAACATCATCTTCAGGTAAGCCGTGTTTCAATTGATAGTGTAGTCTTCCACCAGTTTGGGTTTCCAGTGTAGAGAATCTGCCCCAAGTAGCGAAGGGATCTCTCTTAAGCACTCCAGCTGAATAAATTATGGGCATGCTTTGTGTTGCTATTGAGAGTAAAATGGTCAGTCTGCAGTGGCCAAAGAAACCAACTGTTCTGTTATTGCCTGTGTGACTCTAAAAGAAAAATCTGGGCTGGGATTCTGCTAAACATCTTCTTTCCATGTGGATTCATTCTTATCTTGTGGTCAAAATTCAGGTTTCTCCTGCTGGCAAATTCCTACTTTTATGAATCCAAAGCGCTGTTGCTTACACATAAAAGGAGCGTCTAAATAAGTCCTAGCTATAACACAGAATCTTGGTCACCAAAATTATTGCTCTGAGTGATAGCCTTGTGAAAGGGCTGGCATGGCATTCCTTTTTCCCTTTGATACAGAAAAGAGAGGGAAGTAACTTTGGGAGTTTTTCTATTACTGCCAACAGCTTTTTCTTTTAGTGGCATTTAGGCAAGTTTCAACAAACTTGTGTAAGGTCCTGATACAAAGATGTTTCTATTTTTGTAAGGAATACTGGTAACAACAAAACAACAAAAGTTTGTCTAAAACACCTTTGTATGCGGACAAAAAATGAAAGAAATGTTTCAATCTAGGACAAAAAAATGGTCCATGCTGCTTGCTCTCTATTCAACCTTCGGTTCCCTGATTTTTAAGATTAAACTGCTGTCTTTAAAGGGAAATTCATGTGGTTTTACTTATGCTGTGAGGTGATTTAGGTGAGTACTGTCTATCCATCAGGTTTTTATGTGGGAGGGAGGTGTCCCACAAACCCATTGAGGCCTCAGGAGTCCTGACTTTCTGTACCCACTGTGGGAAGCTCCTGGATATGTATTCCTTCATGTTTTGGTTAAAATTCTGCAAAGCCTTTTCATAAAACACCTTGCCACTTCTACAAACCAAGCCTGGAATTAGTCTTTTGGATGTGTTAGATAGGTATGCATTTTAAAAATAGAGAGTTCTCACTTGAATTGGGGATTATTTTCTGGATCACAGCTGTTGGTATCAGTCTGTTTGGCTGCAAAGGCATTTTGCTTTCCTCTTGTTTGCCTCTTGCTTGTTTGCTGTTTCTGTCCCAGCATGATATCTACTCTGGAGTGAGAAATCCCACCCTTTTTTGGAAAACTTTTTAATAAAGAAAATTTGTTGGTTTCACTTAGTTTCTGCAGAATGTTGCTTATTTCCAAGGCTGCACAGCTCTGTACAGTAGAAATCTGCTTTGTAAGCGATAGACAAGCAAACAAATCTAAATAAGTGTTTAAGAATTTATGCCAGCTGAAGGAGCTGGAAATGAGAAAAGCCTGAAAGCAACCAAATGAATGTTAAAGTAGTGCTGTACACACAAAGCTTTTGGATCTCAAGCTGGGATGTTTCTCTTCAAACAAATACATTGTCAACACTGTACATTTTATATAAGAGCCTTTTATTCTCAAACACTACAGAGTGCTTTACAAAAAACATCCCAATGTTTACCAGGGGATGTGGCTCCCTGTGGGGTGAAAAGGACTGTGTTTCAAGTGACAGGCAACTTGCACAACAGTGTAGTGCAGGAAGGGAAAAGTACTCCATCTAAAGAGAACCACTGTAGGGTGGATTTATCCAGACACAGTAGGATTTGGCCAGGATGCTTAAACTGGTGCTGCTGCTTCTCCCTGTGTGAGCAGTACATCACTGTGCACAGTCACACTGTTGTTTGTACTGTGTGGGATTAATACAGGGAATTCCACTGCCATATTGCTACCTTCCTGGAATTACATAGTGTGTAAGCGGTTACTTAGGCTGTGGGCAGGTGGCACTTGCCTGTCCTGGGCAGTACATCTTTATTAAAACTGGTCTGAGGAAGTTGGGGGTTTCAGAACCCTGTTTCCCCTTTCCCTTCCAGCAATTTTCACTCCTCTTACTGGAACATGCTGTGTACTTGATGTGGAAGTGCTGCACAGCAGTGGCAAGTGACATTTTAACACTGTTCATACAGGTGGTGGCAGAGAGCTTGTAGCAGTTGTAGTGTCTCATCATCTACTGTAGTAGTCAAAATCAACCCAGGTTACATCAGACAGTATGAAATTTGGTGTGCAGAGTCTAAAAATGTATTTTTTTTCAATCTCAGTGAATCACACCTAAGTTGTAGGCTCCTAAGTCAGGGCACCCACATATCCAGTCCTGCACTGGCATGGGAGAGGCAGAAAGTGAAGGCTCTGTTTTAGGAGATTTTGGTGCTCTGTGCAGAAGGGAGAATTGTTAGCACTAAAGAAGGGAATGGAGGCAAAGAAGGGAAGGCAGAACAATATGTGTCTGAAGAGAAAAAAGTTAACAGGGAACATGACAATTGTGGAAGGTGGTCATGTTATAAAAGGGTGCACAGACAGTGCTGCTACAATTGTGTAAAACTTCTGGGCAGGGCAGGAGGGATGAGGAGACTGAAGAGAATATAGGAAAGAGAACTGTGTGTTGTGGGATATGCAGAACCCTGTGTGTGCTGTCAAGGAAGCATATGAATTGAAAACAGGGCTAGCATGCTGATTTTTGCATTAGTTTTTTTCAGAAGTCCTGCTTGCCTGGCCACTTCTAGAAAGAAATGTCTGGCTTATTCTTTCTCTTCTTTTGCTTTGGGCAATTCCTGTCCTGTGAGATGGGCAACAGAGTACTTACATGCATGCTCAGTTTTAACACATAAATAATTCATTCCAGTTGGAATGATCTTCATCTGCAAAAACTGTTAAGATTTGTGATTTTGTGGTGAGACCTCTATCTCCCCTCCCATCAAGTTTCACTTCCCAAGCTGTGTAAGTGCCTCTGGTGCTATCCTTTGGAAGGAGATGCAGAGGATGCAGCCAGAAGCTCACAGAAAAGGCTGTGGCATGCTTAGCTTCCACATGACTAGGACCAAAGGATCCAAGTTCATCTGCATCATGGGTCTCTCAGCAACTCATCCCCCTGTTGCCAAGGTGCTCTGCTGATTCAGGTGACCTTTTAAATCCAATGCTTTTGGCTTATTGGGCAGCTCTCAATGTTTTTTGTTCTGCAGATACAAAATGTTTCTCTTGTCTTAGGTCGTATTTAGAATCACTGAAAGTAAGGAACTACAGAGACTCAAGATACTTAGTTGTTTGGGGGTTTTTTTTCAGCGGTGAAACAAGAAAAATATTAGGTTTCTATACCATATTATTTCTAAAAAAACCTTTTTTTTTATTTTTAAATTTTTATTCATTATTTTACTGCTATTTTCTGGTGCTGCCATTGTGGTATTTTTCTAGCTCCGTGTCTCTGTGTCCAAGGATGTCTTAATTTCTTAGCTCCTTCTAGAAATTTACTCTCTCATACCACAGCCTATCTTTGACATTTCCTTTTGTGGGCAGGTCCAGTATTTTAAGTGAGAAACAGATCTAGGTTTGTGTAGTTCCACAAGTACATGGATGTTGCTTTCTTTGTGCAGAAAGGTGAGCCATGTGTGGGAAGGACATTGCAGTAAAGGAAAATAAGATGTAGTAGGGATTATTGGGTCAAGCCCTAAGCTAGGACTTGGAGGACTAGGAATGAGAGATGGAAAGCTCTTTCCCAGCTGGGTTTGCTCCATGGACTGTTATTTGGAGTAAGGAATTTTTAAAATTGATTTGGGAGGAGGAGGAGTGAATGGTATGAAGTTGTCCTGTCACAGAGGAAGAGTAATTTTTTGACAGTTTTTTAAGGGAAAAAAAAAATCTTCATTTTCATATGGTTGTTATTGAAGTCAGCACTAACAAACCATCCAAGCATTTCTTTGCAAAACCACGTTGGCACTCAGCTGAGACACGAAAAGGTAGAACTTCCTAAAAATTCAGCTCTAGAGGGTCCAGTGAGTAATTTGTTTATGGCAGACTGTGAAAAGAAGGAAAGTGAAGTGCCTTGATTTGGGAACTTTGGCATATTTTGGTAGAGGGAAACCTGAAACTTTCATGACAATTACAGGTTGCAGCAGATTTCTCTTCTGAGGCTTTTATACTGTTACAAGTTATTATCTGAGTTAGCAGATAATTAGCAAGAAGTGTAGCCTTTCTTAAGCTGCTGATAGCTCCATATCTCTGTTAAGAAGGTGCTTCTTAGCAGAGGGGTGGGCACAAGATATTAAGACAGGGCTGAGCTCTGTTTCTGCTGCTGCACATGCAAAGCTATGCTAGAAATGCTGATGTGAGCTGCAGCCTCCTGCTGACTGCACTGCTTTGCACATGTACCCTGATGAAATAGTCTTTCCTTACAGCAATGGTGGCCTGGATCCGTGGTCTGCAGGTGGGGTGACCCAGAACATCACCAATTCCCTCGTGGCAGTTGTGATCCCAGATGGAGCCCATCACCTGGACCTACGCAGCCGTAACCCTTTGGACCCCAAGTCTGTACAGCAGGCTCGAGCCATGGAGATCTGCCTCATGAAGGAGTGGATTGAAAAGGCCAGGCACAGCCACTGAAGTGGTACTGCACCAACTGTGGCCATTACACCTCTCTTGGCCTTGCTGAGAGCAGGACCAGGCCTTGTGATATGGTCACTGGAGCATTTCCCTCCTGCTTCCTCACCTGCACTGCAGTGGTCACCATTATCCATGAAAGAGGCAGGCAGCAGATGGATGGAGAGCATTCTCAGATGATAAACTCCAGTCAAAGTGCATGGATTGAGCTGCCTGCTCTGGTTTGCTTTCCTCTTCTGCTCTGCTCAAATGCTGTACTTTACTACACAGTAATGGGTTCCTGTTCTAGGCTTGTTGCCCTTCTTCTCACTGCACTGATTATTCCAACAGTGGATTGCATGGGAGTGCTGTTGATGGTGAAACTCCTGCTGCCTCCAGTGTGGTTGAATTTCAAACATCCTCTGGTACTGGAGATAATGAGTGAACAGAAATCACATCTTTCTGTGATGTTTGGTGGAGAGGTAGGCAAGGCCTGGGTAAACTGGCTGTACTGTTTGTAAGGAAACTAAACAGCCCTTACCCTTTTGGAATCAGTGTTGGAGAATAAATAAATATACAACTTTTTTTCTACCTAGTTTTCCAGAAGCTTATTAATTGGCACATTTTTGTATTCTGTGCTGTACTGAATGGTCAGGGCTGGGCCCAGACTCACTCTGCTGATAACTGGCTGAGCATGCAGAATCTGCATCAGGATTCTATTTCTTCTTTTGCTATGAGTCCTAATTCTGAGATACCTGTCAATATCTGTGATGATGGTTACCAAAGAAAACTGAGCGTATTTTGTGTGTGTGTATGTTTGTACCCCTCACAAACACATAGCTTTTTAAAATCAGAAAGCTTTTGAAGCTATTCCCTTGAAGAGCAAATGTGACACTTGTGCTGGCTACATCTTATGAAGTGACAAATAATTGGGGCTGTGCCTTGTGTGGGTTCTTCCCTCCCTTCCATTCTGTGTATTGTTCAAATTCTGCATGATCTGTTTGCTGATGGCTCTTCAATAAAAGCCTTTTAAAAAAGAAAATGTTTGCTGGACAAACTATTGAAAACACAGAATGCAGCTATTCCCTTGGATCAGCCTAAAGTCTGATGCTGAGCTCACCAAGCCAGGTGCACTGGGCTTTCTGTAAGGCTTCCAAACCAGACAAACTGCCCTGATTCATGAGACAGCATATTTGACATTAATAAATGGCTGGGGCAGTCCCCTTGTTTTCCAGCTTTGACTTCATTCACACTGCAGTCCTTCTTCAGAAAGGATTCTTTGCAGTTTAAAGGACAACTCAATTTTAGAATGACTCAGGCAAGCCTTCATGTCCCCAGACTCTTAAAATTCCATCTCTGTTGAAAAGTTCTCCCAGCTTTGATGATATGCCTGATAGTTGAGTATTTTCCTAAGATCCCAGGTGGCCTTTTCTGTTTCCAGTCTCCTCCTGTCCTCTGGGAACAAAGAGAACCCAACACTGAATTTTTATCTTTTCAAACACTCCTGTGTATCTTCTTTCCAACAGATTGTCTTTTTCCTCATCTAGTGTTAAACATGGCATTTATGTTCAGACTCTGCAGTCTGAACATCTTATACTTTTGAGCAAGGTAATTTCTTAGATACTCCAGAGAACAAGGCCAGGTAAGAACTACAGGGTTAAAGGGTGTAGGATTTGCCTGAAACCTGTTGACTGAAAACTGTTGGTGTTTGTTTTCCAATAGTTCCAGTTTTTGCTGTAAATACACTCTAGACTCTCACTCATGGACTTTATAACATGTCCTTTATTCTTTTGAAATCAGTAAAATCTATTGTTTTTTAATCAATTGTGTTACAGCAAAGTTTTTAGGAATACAGTCGTGTCTTCTTACACATTAATTGATGTGTGGCAATGTCCTGGTTTACTGCAGGGCATGGAATGAAACCTGTAAGAGTTAATATAAATTTGGGGATCAAAAATTATTTAATTGAGCAAGCAAGATCCTGGTGCAATTGCTCTGATTAGCCCACTGATTGCTCAGGGTGCTACTCCAAGTGAAAATTTTGGGATAAGCATTTACATAAAGATGTGAACAGCCGAAATTAACAGCTACTCTATATTATTAGTCAGCTTGTGTCTCCTCTCTCTCCCTTGCTAGTGAACTTACTGTCTCAGGAAACAGCTGCTGCTTTGTTGTATGGAAAACACTTTTTAATTTCAAGCAGCAATTTCATTCTTCTTTCTCTTTTCATTCGTTTCATTAGCAAAAAAAAAGTTACTTTCAGCAACATTTAGGGTAACATGCAATTTCTCAACTTCAAGTTTTGTGAAAAGACACTTAAAAAATATTTTCAGAGGAATTTTGTTTGTGTTTTTTGTTTATTTGGGGGAGGGGGGATGTTAATAATCTTACTATTCCATACAGTTTCTTTCTGTGAGACTGATTCAAGTGTACTTTGGATCAGGTTCTTATTGGTTGGACCAGCTTATGAATTATGTGACTTGTTTTTATGGTATTTTTGATTTTACTTTTTTTCTCGTCAAGCTGAGTAGTCAAAACTTTAGGTCTTATTTATCTCAAACATTCAGACTTCATCTTATGATCCATGTACACATCTGTGAATGTTACAGAGGGACTGTCTTGTGGTTTGGCTACCTCATCTAAATGTTGGCTCTCCTGTGTGTTTCATACAGGAGAGAATGAGTTGGGCCATAACAAATGGTTGATTTGTCTTTTCAGGCATATGGTGATGGGCCATACTTCATCTCAGGCTTATGTGGGTCCTTGTCTTGTGTTAGAAATTACAGGAATTGAAGACTGTATGTTTCCTACTCACTGGGGAAAATGCAGAGAGAAAAAGAGTTAATATTTTCCCCAAAGCATGAATCTTATTGGTGAGCCTGCAGTTTGCATCAATAAAAATGCATTAAAATAATGTTGAATTTCTGGAACTGGATTTTGTTTTGCAGGGACATCAATTTTTATCCTTTGTCAGATTCCAAGTTCTGCAAGTGACATTGTCTAGTTTGTACCTGACTCTTGAGGAGTGAGGGGAGAGCTGGTTACAGGAATACTTGAGTCACACACATGGCAGTCAGGATGACAGATGGTGAGTCTGCACTCCTTTGGGAGTTTCTCACTTCAGAGCTTTGGCTGTGGTGCGGAGCAGGTGTATGAGCTGGTTGTTCTCTTTAGGTGACCACACTGAATGCAGTCAAGCTGCCTATAATGGGAAAAGTCCATTTTCCTTTTGAAAGTTTTCTCAGGCAAACACTCTTTTCCCCCATGTCTGTACTGAGGAAGGTTGTGAGGACAGATCTGTAACGTCCCCTGACCTGGCGAGGGGAGGTTTTAATCAAATAGTTAATAGGGCATAGCTATGGCTGCAGACTCTTGGGAAGGAGCTAAATAAGTTCTGCATTTTATTTGGTCTCATTTTTTCAATTTGTAGGATAATTTTAATTTTGAAGGTGATCAAATATTTCATCATCAAAAGAGTGATGAAAAGAGTGATAGAAATGAAACTGCCTCCTGGAGCATGGATTCTAACTCACAGGAAAAGTGAGAAGTTTTGTCTCCCATGATGTCTGCCCACCAAGGATGATACAAAAAATGTCATTATGCTTCAAATAAAGGGATTTCTTTTTCTACCTCTGCTCTTAAAAGGGGGTATTTAGCTGTTGTGAATTGAATCTCTAAGGAATAATGAGTGACCTAAAGAGCTTTATGTAGGTTAAAGACAGCACATAGACACTTGGATATTTTAGCTCCTTGCAGGACTAATGTTGGAGTCATTGTGCCTTTCTGGCAGTCAGGAGGACACTATGAGACCACTAAACCTGGGATGAAAGAATACAGGGGATTGTATACTCCAAGCCTCTATCTTTAGCTATCCCCTGTTGATTCAGAACATGATTGTTATGCCTTAACTGGCATCTTACTGGATGTTTCTACTGTAGCCTCTAGGTTTTGGGTTTTTTTTAAAATCATCTAATTTCTGTTTTTGAACCAAAGCCTTGGTCTTACAAATAAGACTATAAATCTGTCTTTTTTAAAGACTGTCCCTGTCAAAAAACCTAAAATGGTTTGTTTTAGCAGTGCAGGTTAGCAGAAAATGTGCAGTGAGGCAGTGACAAAAATATGAACTGAAGATATCTGTAAATTAGCAGTGCTTAAGTACTTTTTAATTTCCCCCTTCTGTTGTTAAAAAATTATATTTTATCATTGAAAGATGCTGGGCATTGGAGCTTCCACTGGTCTGAGTAGACTTGTGCTCCTATACTGTTTGGATTCCTTGATTTCCCAGCACTGCCTCCAGCTGCAGGAACATAAGCCGTAGTTTACCCCCCAGCCCAATTTTATTTTACTAGCAAATCTGAAACCATTTGATCCACATGCTTTAAGGCAGTGTCTGTCTCTATCATTTTCAGTAATACAAGCCCGATGAAGAAGTTGCTTTACAGCAGAGTTAGATTGCTGACAGCTGATTGCATTCCTACCCTGGGCCCTGCTGAGGTGGGGACCTGCTTTGCCCTTGCTGCACCCCCTGTGGGGATCCCGTGGTCCTGGGGTGTGATGCAGAGACAGCAATGCCCTCAACACCCACACCAGGGAGCGGTGAGGATGTGCTCTTTCAGCACTGAGCACCTCACAGCTGTGCTCTGCAAGGCAAGTGATCAGCTCAACCGAGGAAAACCAGCTGAGGGGTGCTTTGGGTGTAACCTCTGGTCATCTCCACGTGTAACAGTGTTCTCTCCAAAGTCCTCTGTGCTGTACCCAAGTGTTTCCTGGGTGGGGAGCCTGGGCTTCCCAGGGTGGGTGGGGGCTGCCCAGGTGTCCAGGGCTTTTCCCTCTGCTGGTGATTTGAAAAATCTTTTGGTTCCATCCCCCAGTTTAGAAAGTAGGGGCAGTGAAACACTGAGACCGGGAATAGCAAATCCCTTCCGTTTGTCTTGTTGTTTTCTAATGTATGCGACCTCTCTGGGTGGTTTAAGCGGTTTAGGTACTTTCTATAAAAGGGATCTTTTAATGACAAAACTAATGTGATTATCTTACCAAGTGTGAGAGGCGTATTCAAGGTTTAAAGAAAATCTGTTAGAATAGCTGAATGTATCTGCTTAATCCTTTCTCTAATGTGGGTGGACAATGCTCTGGGAAGCAATTGGTCTTTCTTTCTTAGAGTAAATGCCTGGTCTCCAGAGGTAGGAACTTGTTTGCAGCTTTTTATACCCTTACGCTTCACCTTCTAGAGAATACAAAGGCGCAGGAGAGAGGCAGAGAGCTTTGAGAGGCCAAGTTTTACCTCAAATAGCTGGGGGTGTAACCAATACAGGGCCAATTCCGGCAGGCGGCTGAGCACTCTCTGCTCCCTTTGACTGCCACCTGAATAGAGAGTCCTCCTTTTTGCTGTCCTGCAAAACCACACTCCCTGCAGCATGGAATACAGGAATGTGTTCTCCTTTCTGAGTGCATGGTGAAGTCGCCTGCAGTTACTTGGATGACAAGACCCTGTCTGGTTTTGTGCTTTGGGTGAGCAGCCCTACCCCTGCAGGTCCAGGGCTTTAGACCCAAAGGTCCAGTTTTCCATATCAACCCCTTGGAAAGGTTTGCACCTTCTGACAAGTTTTTGCAGGGTGGTGCCTGTGCCAGGAAGGGAGGACAGCACTAAAGGGTGGTGTTATGGGATGCAGCCACAGCTGGACCTTGTCTGGCACCAGCCTGGTCGTGTTCAGCTTCTCTGCTGTTCACAGGCTGGTGCTTGTGATTCTTTGGTTTCCCCATGTCCATCTGAAAGCACAGATCTTAGACACATCTCCGGAGCAGTTAACAAGACAGGTAGAACCCCAGAAGTTGCTGAAGCATTTAACAAAGCAAGTAGTGGCTGTGGGACTCTTTAGAAGATGGATTTGGCTTTACAGCAGAGACAAACAGGTTGCATTTTCTAATTTGTTTTCTGAGCATCCTCAAAACAGCACATCAGGAGGAAAAGGATACTGGCTATTACCTTTCTCAGTTGGAATGAAACACAATCTCCTCTCACCACCCAGTGTAGAGCAACACAGGAAAAAGAGGTACCTCAACATCAGTGTGTCTTCCTCATGAACACAGACACTCAGCTATACTTGTATATCTCATCTACCTGCCTTTACTGTGGACTTGGTGCTGGGTTCTCTGTTGTGGAGAGAGTATTCAAGAACTTAGAGCACCATCTAAAAACCAGTCCCAGATTGTATTAAACTGAATATTCTGAAGGAGGGAAAAGCAATTCTGCACCACTGCAATGAGTCCTTCCTTCCCCAAGGGACAGGATTTTGTACTTGCTCTCAGTGAATGCCATGAAATTCTTGTCTCCTTTCAGCACATGTATGAATGGCCACCCTTCCTTCAGTTCTTCCCTCTAACTTGGTGTTATCTACAAGGCTAAGACATTCCAAAGAACTTGAAATCTGAGAACAACATAGCTTCTTCATTGTCTTTTTTGTAGAAGATATGCTCAGACTAGTTTTGAAAACACTTTTTCTCTAAAACTGTTGCAGCACCCTGAAGGCTGAGCACCTTCTTGCTGTCTGCATCCCTACATCAATTCTGTCATGGATTCTCAGCTGAGATCTGATCAACTGCCCAGACAAGGGAGGAAAAGCTTTGGCTGCTCTGAGCTTTACAAGTCATGTTCAGTCCTCACAGCCTCCATGTTGCAATGAAAGCAGGGCCCAGTCATTTCTGATAGAGACTGTGAGACAGGTTTAACAGTCAATCACCATCCAAGCAACCGGGATGAGGAAGAGGAGCAGTGTGGGCTGCCTCCATAAAAAGGGTAAAGGATTTCTTTTGGAGGGTGGTTTATAGGGTCAAATGAGTCTGAGAGCTATTGGGATCACCAATGTAATATAACCATTTCTTAAGTAGGGAATTTGGACCAGAATAAGACCAGTCATGTCTTGACTGTTTTCCTTCAGAAGGAATTATAAACATTTTAATGTGGTTATCTCTGTCCAAATCTTGAGCAGTGCTCCAGGGCTGCTCAGCATTCCCTAGGAAGTGATCCAGTATATCTGGGCAGATGCTTAGGAGTCATCAGGAGTGATGGCCGGCACAGCTCCGTGTGTCACTATTTCCAGGACTGGCTCCCCAGAGCTCTGCTTCCACACCTGCACACCTGCATCAGTCTGATATGAAACAACCCAACTTTTCGCAGTGTCAAATGTCCCTTGGTGTTCCTCCAAGCCTCTCACAGATCCCCCGGCTGCCCTCAGCTCCTTGGCTGAGGCAGGCTCTGGTGCTGTGAGCCCCATTCCTTTGGTCTAAGGGGAGGACAGTGGGCTCCCCTCCACGGAACACGTATCTGTGTGAGCACACAGATGAGGCCAGTGCTTGCTAGGCAAACGAGACTAATAAATGTCGGGGCAGCAGGAGGTGAGTGCAATCAACTGTGAGAGCCTGAGTTATAGCGGTAACCTGCTGAATTCCTGGGTCACAAAGTAATTTACAGAACAACCCCAATGTCATTCAATAATTACTCCGACAGCCCAGACCCCGGGGGGCGCAGCCTCCTGCCGCGGGCGTTATTAATACCATCAACAAGCAGCAGGATGTTGGTGTGAAGAAAAGAGCCACAGCACAAGCATGTGAACCTAAGGAACAAATGGAAAATGGTATTAGTAGGATATTGTACCAGACTCTAAAAACAGATCTATCTTGTCCTAGCAAGTCATTCAGCAAAACATGAATGTGTCCCCTGTGGCAGTGGAAATGGCTGATGGCAGTTTGCAACAGAAGGGGAGGAAGATCGGTGTGTCAGTGCTGCTCGTTTCTATCGCCCAGCCTCTGTGATAGTCCCCATGGAGACTGAACGGGAGCAGGGGGAGGAGGTGGTTTCCAAGCACCCCAGAATAATTTAAATTAATATCCAGTGAACAATGTAAACCTTCCCTTTGA